GGGCTACCCTTTCTGTTCCCTTTGACTGAGATGAAAGGGTGGATTGGACTGATTTTTGTGTCAGAAGACAAGCAGAGCTCTTCCTTTTAAACATACAGCCGTTTCAAATGTCTGGAATGTCCTTTTATGGATGAACAGATACTAGTCCACCCACAGATGGAGGAATCAGGGATGGGTGAAGATGCACCTAGACGCTGATCTTGAGTTAGTTTTGCATTTTTCCCACTAATGGTTAATGTTAGGATTGGGGGAGGGGAAGTTCATCCTAGATCTGTCCCTATGGGAAACATCACCACGAAGGTTACAACTAACAGTTTCTATATGAGAAAGGGCTAAATTGATTCCAATATTGGTCCAAACTCAAATGGCCACCTCTTCATATAAATATAAATGGAGTAATAATATACCTACTCATGCTATAATCTATGTCAATTACTACCACATCTATTATGTTTTTTGATTTGACACAAAAATGACGATGTACTAATACAATGCCTACATTCACCAATGCTTGCACATATACAATACCAGTCAAAAGTTGACACACCTACTCATTCAAGGGTTCTTTATTTTTACTATTGTTTTACATTGTAGAATAATAGTGAAGACATCAAAACTAGGAAACAACACATATGGAATCATGTAGTAACCAAAAAAGTGTTCAACAAATCAAAATATATTTGAGATTCTTCAAATAGCCACCCTTTGCCTTGATGACAGCTTTGCACACTCTTGGCATTCTCTCAACCAGCTTCATGAGATAGTAAAGCATTTCAATTAACAGGTGTGCCTTGTTAAAAGTTAATTTGTGGATTTCTTTCCTTCTTAATGCGTTTGAGCCAATCAGTTGTGTTGTGACAAGGTAGGGTGGGTATACAGAAGATAGCCCTATTTGGTAAAAGACCAAGTCCATATTATGGCAAGAACAGCTCAAATAAGCAAAGAGAAACAACAGTCCATCATTACTTTAAGACATGAAGGTCAGTCAATCTGGAAAATGTCAAGAACTTTGAAAGTTTCTTCAGATGCAGTCACAAAAACCATCAAGCACTATGATGAAACTGGCTCTCATGAGGACCGCCACAGGAATGGAAGACCCAGAGTTACCTCTGCTGCAGAGGATACGTTCATTAGCATTACCAGCCTCAGAAAGTGCAGCCCAAATAAATACTTCACAGAGTACAAGTAACAGTCACATCTCAACATCAACTGTTCAGAGGGGACTGTGTGAATCAGGCCTTCATGGTCGAATTGCTGCAAAGAAACCACTACTAAAGGCCACCAACAAGAAGAAGAGACCTGCTTGGGCCAGGAAACACGAGCAATGGACATTAGACCGGTTGGAAATGTGTCCTTTGGTCTGGAGTCCAAATTGGAGATTTTTGGTTCCAACCGCCGAGTCTTTGTGAGACACGGTGTGGGTGAACGGATTATTTGTTTTACAACAGGACAATGACCCTACTCACCTCCAGGCTGTGTAAGGGCTATTTTACCAAGAAGGAGAGTGATGGAGTGCTGCATCAGATGACCTGGCCTCCACAATCCCCCGACCTCAACCAAATTGAGATGGTTTGGGATGAGTCGGACCGCAGAGTGAAGGAAAAGCAGCCAACAAGTGCTTCACTGGAAAAGCAGCCAACAACCAGTTTCACTGGAAAAGCATTCCAGGTGAAACTGGTTGAGAGAATGCCAAGAGTGTGCAAAGCTGTCATCAAGGCAAAGGGTGGCTATTTGAAGAATCTCAAATATAAAATATATTTTGATTTGTTGAACACTTTTTTGGTTACTACATGATTGTGTTATTTCATAGTTTTGATGTCTTCACTATTAATCTACAATGTAGAAAATAGTCAAAATAAAGAAAAACCCTTGAATGAGTAGGTGTGTAAACTTTTGACTGGTACTGTACAGTTCAAATAAAGTGTTGGCAAAGATTGTTCCATCAAATCAAATGTTGAGTGAATAGGCCTAAGCGTATTGTAAGTGGGTTGGACCGAAAAACAATGCTAAGTAGCCTATTTGTATTTGTATTTATTAGGAATCCCCATTAGCTGATGCCAAGGCAGTAGCTACTCTTCCTGGGGTCCAAACATATTAAAGCACTTCCATTACATATAAAACAAAATATAAAACAGTACATCATATGACATTATTACACCACTACCTATCTACAATACAAAATGTTTAATACCACCATACAACAACATCACAACGCGTGCGTATGCATGTGTCTATACCCTTGTGTGTGTCTCTTCACAGTCCCTGTTGTTCCATAAGGTGTATTTTTACCTGTTTTTAAAAAATCTGATTCTACTGCTTCCATCAGTTACCTGATGTGGAACAGAGTTCCATGTAGTCATGGCTCTATGTAGTACTGTGCGCCTCCCATAGTCTGTTCTGGACTTGGGGACTGTGAAGAGACCTCTGGTGGCATGTCTTGTGGGGTATGCATGGGTTTCCGAGCTGCGTGATAGTAGTTTAAACAGACAGCTCGGTACATTAAGCTTGTCAACACCTCTTACAAAAACAAGCAGTAATGAAGTCAATCTCTCTTCCACTCTGAGCCAGGAGAGACTGACATGCATGTCATTAATGTTAGCTCTCCATGTACTTTTAAGGGCCAGCCGTGCTGCCCTGTTCTGAGCCAACTGGAGTTTTCCCAAGTCCCTCTTTGTGGCACCTGACCACACTACTGAACAGTAGTCTAGGTGCGACAAAACTAGGGCCTGTAGGACCTGCCTTGTTGATAGTGTTGTTAAGAAGGCAGAGCAGCGCTTTATTATGGACATACTTCTCCCCATCTTAGCTACTGTTGTATCAATATGTTTTGACCATGACAGTCTACAATCCAAGCAGTTTAGTCTCCTCAACTTGCACAATTTCCACATTATTCATTACGAGATGTAGTTGAGGTTTAGGATTTAGTGAATGATTTGACCCAAATACAATGCTTTTAGTTTTGGAAATATTCAGGACTAACTTATTCCTTGCCACCCATTCCGAAACTAACTGCAACTCTTTGTTAAGTGTTGCAGTTATTTCAGTTGCTGTAGTAGCTGACGTGTATAGTGTTGAGTCATCCGCATACATAGACACACTGGCTTTACTCAAAGCCAGTGGCATGTCGTTAGTAAAGATGGAAAAAAGCAAGGTGCCTAGACAGCTGCCCTGGGGAATTCCTGATTTTACCTGGATTATGTTTGAGAGGCTTCCATTAAAGCCTATAAATACAAGAGAGCCATTGGGAGTAATCATTAGCCTATTCTACTGTCATCATTGAGCCCGGGATTTCTGGGTTATTAGAGGAATTAGATTAGGCTGGCATACTGTATACAGGTAACTGCCAAAATAAAGGAAACACCAACATAAAGTGTCTTAAAGGTCCAATGCAGCCGTTTTTATCACAATATCAAATCATTTCTGGGTAACAATGAAGTACCTTACTGTGATTGTTTTCAATAAAAAAAAAATCAAAACAAACAAAAATAGCATCTTAGCAAAGAGCAATTTTCAAACAAGAATTTTGCTAGGACTGTCTGGGTGTGGTCTGGGTGGGGAGAGGAAACGGAAAATTAGCTGTTAATGGCAGAGAGATTTGGAATTCTTTGTCTTATTGGTCTATTAACTAATTTAATGCATGGCGATGTCACCAGGGCCATTAGTCCAAACAGTAAACAAGAGTTTCCATTGGCCAAATTCAGGTAGGTCCCATAAGTGTTCAATAACAGAGGTGCATAAAGATGGTGGCCCCCATGCACTTACCACAATTCCTCGTTTTGCTCTCTGTCGCTCTTTTTTTTGTATGGCCATTAGAGAAGTATAGCCTACATGATCCAAATTTTAGCTTCAAGACGGGGGCAATTTTAAAAAACGAAAAAGTAGATTGTGCTGATTTATTGGCACATTGAACCATATCGCTGGCTGTAGTTAAACTCAGTGGATAGTGCTAAAACAATGACGTCATATCTGAATTCTGCCATTTTTACGCACGTTTGCCATTAAGTTGAGATCTGGTGACAGACACACACCCTATGCTCCTTTGAGACACCTCTTTCAAAGTCACTGAGATCTCTTCTTCTAGCAATAATAATGGGCAATGGGTATTTTTATACATGACCCTAAGCATGATGGGATGTTAATTGCTTAATTAACTCAGGGACCACACCTGTGTGGAAGCACATCCTTTCAATATACTTTGTATCCCTCATTTCCTCAAGTGTTTCCGTTATTTTGACAGTTCCCTGTAGATTCCCGAGGCAGTTTCATTGACTGGCGAACAGATTTTCTAGCTACATATCAAGTCTGTTTTGCCATGCAGCTCTGGAATGTAGGCTATGGGTGGATAGAATTCATAACAAACGGTTTAACTCGGTGAAAATAACTCCATGTAGCCTAGAATAACGGTTATCTTCTTCAAATAACGGGAAAGTGTCCCTGTGAAAGTCAAAAGGGGACTATGCCAGGCAAACCCTTTCTATGGAGAGCAAAACAATAATAAAAGTAGGTTATAACTTGTCCAACAAGCTAGTAATGTAGCCTATGCAATTGCATATTCTTTTGTCTAGAAAACGGTTGTTCAGTCTGCGTATAGCCTAACCTTCTGTGGGATTAAGATAGCTTTATCGTCATGTTGTTCTTTGTCGTACATTCTTAAAATAAACATAAACAAAGCAAACTACGAGGGCAGACTTTGATTTGATAAATCCCGAGCAATTGACTGTCTAGTCCGAGTGACCTATACCAACAACAAACTCAACCAAATGTCATTCAATTATGGACGTGTGAGGTTGTTGCTAGAGACCATGGAACAGTCTTCAAAATGTAGCCTAGCTATCTTGTAACAACCACTCCGAATTGGAAACATTACTACAGACGCCCACTCACAAAGAAAAAGGATTACATATGTGCTGGGCAATGTAAGTAGCTTAGCCTACCTTGGAACACAACTTGGAGAAGAACGGTCTATTTCCCATGTTGCAAAAAGGTTCATAGGCACGGGCATGGGACCATCCGACCCACCCGAATTCGAACCCATGCCTCCTGCTCCAACCACGGCTCCGGGAGCAGTGGGCATAGGTGCCGGAGGTGGTCCACCGATCCCGCCGCCGCTGCCTGGATTCAGGAAAGCGGCCCGCACTCCTCCTCTCTCTACGGCCGCCGCCATCATCGCCTCTCCCGGTGTAGCAGCAGGCTATCAGGCTGTGATGCTCGCTCGCGTAGCCACTCTCCGCTATATCACAGAAACTTCTCAATGTAGCAGGCAGCTCAAAGCTAGCATATCGAGATAGTGCTGAAACAGAGGCATTCGAACACAAATCTGGGCGGGCGTTATTCAGCACGCACACACAAAAACGAGGCAAGGTTCTACTATTGAACGCTAGGGGCGCCCGCAGACCATCTGATTTTTCAAAGGGGCTGGTCATTGGTTGATTGTAAATACAAAATCAGAGCTGAATATTATTGGATTATCATAACATTAATTCATTTTAATTAACCACACTGTGATTATAGCTAGTAGACAATTATTGGTCTATGCATAATTATTGATTGGACATTTTATGACTATAGTAAGACACGTTATATATTATATAGGCTAATGATACTTTATATCAGGGATCATTCATTCATATTTGTTTTTTTCTGCAACAACCAATGATGTATTCCTTAATATAAAATCATACTCCTCTACTAGCCTACAATCCATTATTGAGACGGAAATTGTGATATTATGGTGATATAAAACTTTTCATTAGAAGCAAGTCATATTAAAATGTTATTTTATAGATATAAAAAATCCACTATGTCGCTTGCACATTCCATCAACAGTTGGAGAAAATATGCTTCTGTTATACTTCATTTGAAGGTCTGCTTGTAATCTGTTTATTATATAGTTTATTACATAGTTTATTTTGTGTGTGCTTAATTTAGGTTGGTATTTTTGGGACTATTCCATTGGTTCCATTGTACTGGGCAAACTAAATTACTTGACATGTAGGCCTATCTGACTCAGGTCTGATCTCCAGCTGTAATTTCTGTCAATATTTTTGCTGGTGAGCAGGCTGAGCACTGACTAGGACAGGGCTTGACTTGGTCCCAATTTACCCATAAGGAGCACCCACACCTTGTTTAGTATGATGTAGTGCCCTCCAGTGGCAATCAAAGATACATTGACTGCTGCTACTACTGTATTTATATGTGATAATAGCTTGGATAGGGACATTGCATGCATATCTTCTCTTCTGCTCATATCTGACATTAACAGGAGTAAAGCATTCTAGTGTAGTTATAATGCACTGTAAGACGGGTCATACGCATGTATATGACCCCCTCAGAATGTCTTATTACCCTCTTATAATGATCCTGACTAAAATAATTGGAGTCAGTTGAACATGTGCTACACAGAGAGACATATTATAAGCCTTGTGATAAGATATTAAAATTACAAGGGCTCACACATGGTTATGTCAAGTAATAAAGCATTAAACCTGTTGGCTTTACGTCAAGTGTTACTGCAGTTCTCAAAGAAAATCATATTTCTAAACCAAATATACTGGGATAGACAAGTGCACCAGCTCAGACAGTTCACCATCACTAAATGAATGAGAGACAACAACTGCCACCACCCTTTAGGTGGTGTAACATTTTCTGGCCTATGCAGGCAAAGAATCGATTATCTCTTGCTCTGAGCGAGTGAGCCCAGGGCTGCGTTCAGTACGTTTTCACGTTCTGGAACGTTCAATTGAACAGAAACGGTGCTGTACCAAGGATTGTCTATTATATTGACAAGATAGTCGATTGACTATCTTGATCGCTCTAACAATGGAAATACATGTCCTCAAAGATGGAAGGCAGGCGGGAGGAGGCGCAGATACGCGTGTGAACAACAGGCCATAGAGATATTCTCAGCCAGATTTAAAGCTCTCAACATAAAAAATAATAATGAAATAATTTAATAGAACTGAATGAAGACCCCTTTCTCTTGGTCACAGAGGGACGAAATCACTTCGTGCTTAAAGTTGAAGTTGTAACAAGTCTGCACACATTTGAATGGTGTCTCTACGCCGCTCAGTGGACGTTTAGGAGAAAATTCTCTGTTGACAGTTAAATTAAATAGTGCCAATATTATACTGTCACTAAGTATGATCATATTTATTTTACAATTATAAGAAATATAAAATCTTATAGTAAGTCATCTATAATTTGATTGTAACTATATTTAGAAAGCATTTCAGTCATTTCAAAACCTATTGCCCCACTTCGGTTAGATAAGGAAAAAATTATATAGGATTTGTTATATTTACATAATATTTATACTATGTACTTGAGTCCTCAAAAGTGTGTACACCTCACCAATTTATAACTATTGTTTTACCAGAAAGATGAGTTCCAGACCTTTCTAAAACTATGCAACATTACCAGTTATTGTTCATGGCCATCTCATGAAAAACTATTACGTTTGGGTATGTCTATTTAGGCGGAAATCTACATTTTACCCTATCTTTCAAATGGTATAAAGCCCAATTTATGTGCAAATAGGCTACAAACGGTGTCGTACACCAGGGCCAGCTTGCAAAATCAAATCAGAGTTCACAACCTTGATATTTTGAAGAACTTGTTTTATTTTCCATACATTTCACTACATCTTACACCTGAGTTCCAACGGCTGTCGAAAGCAGACTTAACTTGAAAAATGAGGTTCCTTAACATCAAACAAACCGCAATCAGATGGCAGTAAAACCTATTAGTATTTAACACCTGACTTCTAAAATAATACACTGCAGAATAACACTTTTCCATATGCTAAAGATTTAGCAATAATATAACTTGCTAAGCAATGTTATATCTCTTCAGCAGTTTCTCAAAACATTGATTTGTCTATTTGATTATCTAACATCCCAACATAATCCGAAATGTAATCACCCTCAGTAGTTTAGGATACATGGTAGATTCTGAGCAATAGATATAAAGCGTGGTTTCAGTTAACTGATGTCAAACTCAGAAGCAGCTGAAGGATGTTCCCTAGCTAGCACCACCATGTGGTCATTTGTATGCCAATTTATGAGTGAATGCCAAATATGCCAAATATACTGTATGTACAGTATGCCAAATATATGCTTGTCTTGTGCTTCAATGGGACATACAGTGGGATACAAAATTATTGACACCCTTGACAAAGATGACCAAAAATGAATGTATAAAATAATAAGAATTACTGAGCTATATTGTATGCCCCCAAAAATTGGGGGATTATATTATTTTATACTAATACAATTGGTCAGAGAAATATATTTTGTTTAACAAGTAATGCAAACATTTCTCAAAAAGGTAGGGGTCAAAATTATTGACACGTATTGACACAAAATTATTGACCTTTCAATACCTTTCAATACCTATCCTGGATAATGACACTGAGCCTTTTTCTAAAATGTTTTATGAGTTGGAAAACATATTGGGAGGGTCCAGTGACAGCTAAATAGACCCATAACGTCAAAGACCCACCACCATATTTTACAGTAGGTATGGGGTTATTTTCTGCTTGCGCATTCTCATTTCGACGCCAAACCCACCACTGGTGTGGGTGGCCACAGAGCTCTATTTTCATGTCATCTGACCAAAGCAGCGGTTCCAATCCAAGTGCCAATGCCGTTTAGCAAACTTCAGGCATTTACATTTGTTGGATGACATGAAAATAGAGCTCTTTGGCCACGCACTGCAGTGGTGTGTTTGGCGTTGAAATGAGAATGCATAAGCAGAAAAGAACCCCATACCTACTGTAAAATATAGTGGTGGATCTTTGATGTTATGGGTCTATTTTGCTTCCACTGGTCCTGGGGCCCTTGTTAAGGTCATCATGAACTTTACCCAGTACCAGGACATTTTAGCCAAGAACCTGGAGACTGAACCTTGACCAAAAGTGGATCTCCCAGCAAGACAATAACCCCAAGCACACATCAAAATCCACAAATAAATGGTTAATTGGCCACAAAATGAACATTTTACAATGGCCAGCTCAGTCTACGGACTTGAAACCCATTGAAAACCTGTGGTTTGTATTGAAGAGGGCAGTCCATAAGCACAGACGAAGGATATCAAGGATCTGGAAGGATTCTGTATGGAGGAATGCTCTAAGATCCCTCCCAATGTGTTCTCAAACTCATAAAACATTTTAGAAAGAGGCTCAGAGACGTTATCCTCGCAAGGTGAGGTCTTGAAAGGTATTGAAAACAGTGGTGTCAATCATGTTTACCCCTTTCTTTTTAGATTTTTTTGTATTACTTGTTAAACAAAATCTCTTTCTCTGAGCAATTGTATTAGTATAAAATAATATAATGAATTGCTTTTGGGTGCATACAATATAGCTCAGTATTTGAATTATTTATTTTATACAGTAATTTCTGCTAATCTTTATCAAGGGTGTCAATCATTTCGGGCCCCAATGTACCTCCATAATATCAATTCCCATAATTAAAGCACATGCCTGTATCATTATAACACATATTCCAGGGAGAATATTACGAACTAGACCATAGAAACCTTTATAGGGATGATGATTGAAACTAACTCTCATGAAGAGGAACTTGTTCTTTCATACCAAATACAGGAACTAGGTTTACTACGATCCTTCTATAACACCCACCCACATCAGAAATAGGCTTGTTACAGTAAAGAGGAAGCCTAAAAACTATAAACCGTTACATTGCTTTCATATTCCCCTCACATCCAGGCAGGAGCATTCAAACCCAGGTAACGACTTGATGTATTTTTTCAGCGCTACATTATTGTGCTATCTTCACAAGGTACTTATTAGAGGTACATTTTTTTAAACTCAGGAAACTTTTCACGTTTACAAATTATAGAGAAATGTAGCTGTAAATACTAACAGTGTGTGTGTGTGTGTGTGTGTGTGTGTGTGTGTGTGTGTGTGTGTGTGTGTGTGTGTGTGTGTGTGTGTGTGTGTGTGTGTGTGTGTGCAGGATGCAGGTGAAACTCATACTAATGGCATTGTGTGCTGTGGTGTCCTCTTTCAAACAACCACTGAGCACTGAGCTGGATGGCGTCTGGGAGGAGTGGAAAACCCAACACGGCAAACAGTATGCCAAGGTTACTTAGAGCCTATGGCAAACACAGTATGCCAATCATATGAGTTAATCCTAACTTTCACTTAAAGATGCATTATGCAGAAATCGCTCCATGATTTCCTGGTTGCTATAATTCTAATAGTTTGCCTGACTTCAGTTCATGTGACAAAACAAGCAAGTATAGTGTAGAGAATCATTGTACCATCTAAACCTCTGTGAAATATATTTTCCATAACCAAGAATATGTTTATATAAAGCTGTTTGAAGCTGGTGTACAAAACCAAAAGTAGAAGACGCAAAAACGAAACGTAAGAATGGGAGGCATAGAAATAGTGCACATAGAACAGATCTACCGCTTCTTAGACTTGCTTTCAATGAGAATGACAGATCTATAACACACATTTCTATGTGAATTTGGTCAGGTCGCCCAAAAAGTCACATATTGCAGTTTAAAGTCAAATATTGTGCCCAGCTAGCACATAATGTTCTGAGAACCATGTTTCTTAGAGCTTGGTGAAAGCGTGGTTGTCCTATGGTTATTTTGCATACAACCTTCCCACAATGTTCTGGGAATGGTACAGGATAGTTGCTTGGCTTTGAAACATTCTCAGCACATTTAAGGAACTTGACAAAATAACTTTATTTTCTTGGTATTTCATTACTTTAACAGAACATTTCCTAAAAGTTCAAACATGGTTACATTTAATTGAATTTTTGGTAATGTTCTATAATATAATATGCCATTTAGCAGACGCTTTTATCCAAAGTGACTTACAGTCATGCGTGCATACATTTTTGTGCATGGGTGGTCCCGGGGATCGAACCCACTACCTTGGCGTTACAAGCGCCGTGCTCTACCAGCTGAGCTACAGAGGACCAACTGGTTTGTTATTGGGAATGTTCTCAAATAGTTTAGAGAAGGTTAAGAAACAACGTTCTTCTGTGGGAATATCAGTACTTCAACATAACGTTTCCTACAGGTTTCCTCATGACTCTTTTAAAGTAATGTTCTCAAATTGTTCCGAGAACGTTATGAAACAACGTTCTTCTGTGGGAATTTCAGTGCTTCAGCATTACGTTTCCTACCGGTTTCCTCATGGTTCTATTTAAAGTAATGTTCTCAAATCATTCTGAGAATGTTAAGAAACATACTTCTATTGGAATTTCAGTACTTCAGCATATCGTTTCCTACAGATTTCCTCATAGTTCTATTTAAAGTGTTCTCAGAACATTAATGTTCTCAGAACATTAAGAAAATGTTCCATAAAAAACACAAGAAAACTGTAGTAACGTTCAAAGAACGTTCTAAGAATGCTATTTAAAAACATATACATTCCGTTCTCAGCGTCAACAAAACTCTCTCCATCCTCTATCTTGTTAAGTGTGTTCCACACCTGATCTTAATGAGTGCTTGTTTCCTTTGAAATAGGGTCTGTTTGAACAGACTAAAATGAACAGCTTTGTATGAATAAAAAAAACATGGCATGCTTGCTCCATCCTGGTGGCACAGTGGACTAATTCAATGGATAGAGACTAGAAATCATAGGTTTGAATCACACTGATGCCGAGTCACAATACAAAATAAATGTGTTTGCACGATTAATGCCTAAGCAAATACATTTCCATGTGTCCTCTCCTTGCTTGGAGTTCAAAACAGTTAACCCAAACTAAGCTAGCCGTCTTATTGAAACATTCAGTGAAAGTTTTAAGGAAATTATTTAAAAAACTCCAAATAACTTTGACATTTTGTTCAAAACATTCACAACGTTATTTAATTACCTTCAAATAACCTAGAATTTCCGTTCTCAGAACGTTAATAAAACTTCCCAGGAAAACATTCAGGGAACCATAGTAAAATGTTCTCAGAACCTCTCTGCAACCAATAAATTAACATTCCCAGAACAGGCAAAATGTTCATTTCTGTTCAGTTTTACCGTTCAGGAAACGTATGCCTTCATGCCCAGAACCAATGGGAAACCAAAAATGTACGTTCCCACAACTTCCAAGGAACCAAGTGTGCTAGCTGGGTGAAAATGTGACTTAAGTGGAAGTTTAGGATGTGTTAAGATTTGCCCCATAGAGGTTAATCATGACGTTAATAACTTGTGGGGCCTTTGGCTTATCTTTCTCAGGTGGACGAGGGCTTCAGAAGGATGATCTGGGAGACAAACCAAGGCCTCATCCATCAACACAACCTGGAGGCAGAAATTGGCAAGCACACCTTCACCATGGGAATGAACCAGTTTGGAGACATGGTAAGACAACCCACAATTGTAATTGGGCCAGCAATTGGATGAGCATGAAACATGAATTTAATAAATATAAATAGGAAAGAGAGCAGCTTTTACAGATGCAATGCAGATTACAATGCAGATATATGTACACATTCATTGTTTTATACAATATTTAATCAATTTCTAGAATTAAAGTTTTCCTGACTAAGATGGCGATCCATTAGGATGCCGAACCATTCTAGTGTTCTATTTAATTCTGTGTTCCAGACAGATAAAGAGTACAACACCTTGCTGACTGTTAATGCTGCTGAGGAGGAGAAAAGCCTGGATGGGATCCCCCTCTCTAAGTGGAACAGCAGTCTCTCAGCAGCTCCCGAGACGTGGGACTGGCGTCAATATGGATATGTGACTCCAGTGAAGAACCAGGTTGAAGAGCAGCCTCTTTCATTTGTTCTCTCTCACTTTGGGGCGAATCCTAACTTCCACTTAAGTCGAAATTTCACTTAGTCTCCCATTGACATCATGCATGACTAAGTAAAAATGTGACTTAACTGGAGGTTAGGATTCGCCCCTTCATTTTTCTGGTATTGTACAGATTGACTGATATAGAAAGGATTAAAGGAGTGGGTAGTCTAGGTGCCACTTATTAGACATGACATGAAAAGCCACTTTCTATGCATTTAGAAAGGTGAGAAAACTGTTGTGGTAGTGGCCTGGTATGATGAGTAGGGACAGGAGTTTTTCCTGAGCACTTTACCAGGAAAAACATGCCGCCTTACTTCTAGGGGATAACTTCAAAGCACAATAGGGGAAATACAACTTGTATTTTATCTAGGGGCATTGTGGGCTTTGCATTTACTTCTAGGCAATAACTTCAAAGCAAAACAGTAGAAATGAAAATGATTTTTTTGATCTAGGGGCATTGTGGATCTTGCTATGCATTTGCTGCAGTCGGAGCCCTGGAGGGCCAGTTGTTTAAGCAGACAGGCAAATTGTTGCCTCTGAGTGAGCAGAACCTGGTGGACTGCAGTGGAGACTATGACAATAATGGCTGTGACGGTGGCTTGGCCATGAGGTGTTTTAGTTATGTCTCAGATCATGGGATTATGTCGGAGAGGAAATATCCTTACACTGCAGAGGTACAATACAATATGTTACCATTAGGGTTGCAAAATTCTTGTAACTTTCCCAAAATTCTCAGGTTTTCCAGAAATCCCAGTTGGAATATTCTTGGAATCATGAGGGAATAACCAGGAAACCAGGAATCCTCCAACCAGTATTTCTGGAAAAAGTGGGAATTTTGGAAAGTACATAGAATAGATGAGTGAAAAGCTCACTGTAAAGCTTGAGATTATCAAATTAAACTGTTTTCAGGTGGGCCCTTGTAAATACCAGAATGCAACAAAGGAAGCCTGGTGCAAGGGCATCAACAGAGTTCCTTCTCTGGATGAAAAAGTGTTTCGAGACACTTTGTATGAGGTCGGCCCTATCGCTGTGTCTGTGAACGCCAGACATCCCTCCTTCAAACTCTACAAAGATGGTGAGCTTGGTGTCACACTCCTATTATTAGATGTGAACAAGTATACATGTACATTCATGTCAAGGGTATGCTCTCCAAAAAGAGGTCATAGATTATCTCTTTTGAGATTGTAGTAGTTCGACTTTACTGCATGGACTCTTCTGCAAACGTGTTACTACAATTTTAGGTGTGAACCATTAAGCAACATATAAATAAGAAGAGAAAACAGCCCTAGTCTTACCAATACCAGGTCATGTTTAACAAGCTAGTCTGAGGAGTAAAAAGTGTCATTGTTGACAAAGGTTTACAGCCCAGGTTGGTCATACAGTGAAATAACTCATACTTTACACATGGAGACACATAAAAAAATTACTTTGGAAACACTTTACTTAAAGCATCCAGGCATACCTTGTTATAACCATGTATGAGTCTTTATAATGTCTTATATCAAGGCTTATATTATGTCTTTCTATGCATATATTTTCAACTGGTTATTTTGCCCGTATCACTATGAAATTATTATAATGTTAAGGGGTCATACATCATCATGACAAGTTGTAATGCATTATAACTGGATGCTTTAAGTAAAGGGTTACTATTACCTCTATGAAATTGTAAATAAATACATATGAATTGCACATTAACTTTTGTAGTGTTTCTTCTTTAGGAGTCCTCTACCAGCCTGACTGTTCAACAAGAACCAACCATGCTGTACTGGCTGTCGGGTATGGTAGTTCTTACCTGGACTACTGGATTGTGAAAAACAGGTCAGTGTTTACTTTGACAGTATAAAGTCATCCAACAACTCAATATTAATGACATAGGGCAACCTTTTCGATGCAGAAAATACAGTGTGATTTAATTCGACACTTCTGTGTTATAAAAAGGCCACCATTTACGCATTGCTCAGTTTACAAAAAATCTAGTTAAATAATCCCCATTTTATAACGCACACTGTCGAAGAAAAGTTCCAAATTAAATTGTACTGCCAGGTTTTAACGGATTTTAATTGTATTCACACGTCATGTACATATCTAATGTAAATGTACACACACTCGGTACTAAGTATTCTTTAATTTCTCCATTGGTTTTGCAGCTGGGGGACAGGTTGGGGAAGAGACGGGTACATTCTCATAGCCAGAGGATACAACCAGTGTGGTATTGCCAATCGCCCAGTCTACCCTATTATGTGATTTGTGTATGTTGACACACTTGGAATCTTAGTTAGAGATACAGTGCATTTGGAAAGTATTCAGACCCCTTGACTTTTTCAAAATGTCGTTACGTTACAGCCTTATTCTAAAATGTATTACATATTTTTCCTCATCAATCTACACACATTACTCCAAAATGACAAAGTGAAAACAGGTTTTTATAAATTTTAGCAAAATGATTACAAATAAAAACCAGAAATACCTTATTTACATAAGTATTCAGACCCTTTGCTATGAGACTTGAAATTGAGCTCAGGTGCATCATTGATCATCCTTGAGATGTTTCTACAACTTGATTGGAGTCCACCTGTGGTCAATTCAATTGATTGGACATGATTTGGAAAGGCACACAGCTGTCTATATAAGCTCCCACAATTGACAGTGCATGTCAGAGCAAAACCAAGC